AACAATGAAAATTTTAAAAGATTTTTAAAAAGGTATTGGTAAGGTAAAATATTTTAAAATGTTAAAATAGGAAAGAGGAAAAATTTCAAAAAATAGAATAAGAAAAAAATAAAATTAAAAAATTTAACTTTGAATGATTTAAGAATCATGGAAATAAAGCTATGAATTTTATGTGTTGCATTCCCTTAGCTCTGAAGTTTCACACTTCTCATTGATTATTGAAGTTGGTCTTGGCTGGATGTTCTTGCTGAATTACACCACACTTGCCAGGTGCCAGGCTAAGCAGTCTGCTCAGGTTCGCTCTCATAGCTTTTGTTCCCTGACCACTTTCCATACAGCTTTGGAGAACTGGAATGAAAATGGCAGCCTCCCAATCTCCAACCCAATGAGAGCCAAGAGCTCAGGACCCCATTTTTCCAATTTTAGTATATGTGCTGCCGAAGCGAGCACAGGACACCATTTCTCAATGCACCCTTACAGAAAAGCGGTCAGTCCCTCCCATCTCCCTGGTCTCAGGCCACACTCTGTGCTCACCCGGCCTGTGACCAAGCATTTCTATCTCTGGTGCATGGTCCCATTTAGAGTCTCCAAACCCAGCAGACTCCTGCTTCATGCTCCTGTGCCACTCCTCCCAAAGGAGGAAGGAGTGTTTCTCTCTGAATCTGTTACATGTGGGGTTGCTGCTCCAAGAGCCGTGGCCCAACTGTGCCTTGGAGCACAGTACAAGGTAACCCAGAGCTGAGAGCTCACTCCTCAGCTCCATCTCTGTATTCTCTATATTCAGCTTCCCCGCTCCAATACCTGGCAGCTCTGCCACACTCAGACACCCCTGGTCTTTCTGTGACCCCCTGGGTCCTGAAACCACACTGTCCCTGGGAGGGCTTCACCTCTGCTTAGCCTTTGGAGCAACATGCCTCAGTGGAGCGGATTTCTAAAAGTTCCAATTTTGTGCTCCACGGCTCTTTCACTTGCTAGGATCTGGCCCCTCCCCCCATGGTCTATCTTCCCAAATGTTGCCTCAGATTCACTTCTCCACACGTCCTACCTTCCGGAAAGTGGTCGATTTTCTGTTCCTTGAATTGTTGCTCTTCTTCTCTTCTCTCTCCTGTTGAGTTAGTAGATGTTCAGAATGGTTTAATAACTATCTAGCTGAACTCTTGGGACTTGATGATTTAGGTCTCCTGCTCCTCTGCCATCTTGCTCCTCCCTCCCTAATTTTTTTGTTATTAACATATAATGTATTATTTACTCCAGAGGTACAGGTCTGTGAATCATCAGCCTTACACATTTCACAGTACTCACCATAACACATACCCTCCCTAATGTCCATAACGCAGCCACCCTAACCCCCTACCCCCACTCCCCAGCAACCCTCAGTTAGTTTTGTGAGATTAAGAGTATTTGATAGTTTGTCTCCCTCCCAATCCCATCTTGTTTCATTCTTTTCCCTCCCTACCTGCCATGACCCCTCACAATGCCTCTCAAATTCCTCATATCAGAGAGATCAAGTGATGATTTTCTTTCTCTGATTGGCTTATTTCAATATGCTTTTTTTTAACGCCTACTTTTTAATTTATGGAAAATAAGCATCTCTTAATTTATGTATCATCCCTTAAATATAATTCTATTTTAGATTAGTCTCTTAATTTTTTAGATTCAAATAATTCATCTTTTGTTTTCTGTGTATCTTGACTTCCAAATTGTACATGAGGATTTTAACACCTCAGCTCTCCCAGCTTGTCTCTCAACCTATCATCTTTTCCTTTAATTTTTTGGTAAAGGTTGATAAGATTTATTTCTATTGCATAATGAGTTTTTTGTTTTGTCCCTGTGTGGATTCATAAAGCTGAAAATCAATAATTGGCATTTGCATTGTTGCAGTAAAGCCTTGATTACATTTTTTTCCTCACAATTCCGAATCACCAGCCCTCCGCTATTTAAAAAAAGAGTGTCTGATGGATTCCTTCCTGCTTTTACCAGTTAGTTAAAATGAAACCACAGCTAGTATCATATTTTACACTGTACCTTCCTTTATTGATTTTGTTACCCTGTTGGAAAAATTAATCTTTGTTTCCTCAGCTTTTTCTCATCTTGTACATTGCTTGAAATCTATTTCATTTCCTATGAGAAGCTAATGAACTTTTCAGTAGTTTCTTCTTTATTTTTTAAATGTGTAATTCCAGTCTTTATATCAACTACTGAAAGATCTCAACACTGAATTTAGGCTTCCTAGTTTTATTAGAATACATGCTCCCATTTTAAATTCTCAGCCTATAGTGGCTTTTATTAAATCAAAATTATGCTGCAGAATTTTTACATCACACATATATTAGAACTGTTTCCTCTTTTAAATTTAAAGAGTATGGCTTGGGCTTTGTTATAAGAAAATAATATTTCCCCAACTAGTTTAAGTTCATTTTTCAATCCAGTGTTCAGTATTAATGACTTTTGCTCCATTATTTGTCTTACATGCTCTAGGAGAGAGCAGCTTCACTATATCTAGAACATTTAGTGCCAATAGGTACAATTAATTGGGTTCAGGCTACCTATCAAATATTTCATATAGTTAACATATATATTATTTTATAGTAACTATTATAGTTACTATTATAGTTACTATAACTCTACTATTTTATAGTAACTGTTATAACTATATATAATATTCATACATGTTATATATACTGTTGCATAGTATATGTAATTAATTATAGTACATATTAATATATATTATAATAATCATAAGCATTTATTATAATTAAACTAGATATAATACTTAACATATATAATATACAAAATACTCATATATTAGGCAGTGTTACCTCTGATTTTCAGGTGAAAAAGCTAGATTTAGAGAGACTATCCAAGCAGAATTAGAACTCAAATCACTCTTATAACAAGATTCTCTATTACAAGCTGCTTCTGTATAACTTACTGCTTATTTTTTTTAACTTACTGTTTAAACAAAAATAATTTTTGGTAGAGGAGCTAAAGATTATGAATTCCTCAGGTTTTTTTTCTTATTTAACTGCAAATAAATTGAGAATTTTTATCATTACCTAATTTCAAATTATTTATGCAAATACCCCAGTACTAATGAAAGCATTAAGTGCAAGACAGTCAGTTGGAAAATAGAGTTGGCTAAAAATAAAACAGAGAATAATACATTACTCAGATTAGTATAAAACTAGTAATTTAGGCCCCTGGGTATGTTTTTCAGAGGGGGTCCTTTAAACTTTGTTAATTGCAAAATAACTACATTGCCCATTTTCCATCATCATAGAGGATTCTTGTTATTTTATTTCTGGATTTTTCTCCAGAAAAAAAGAAAAAAGAAAGATGCAGCTGGCCCATCAGGTTTTTTGGCTAGAACTTAAGCCATCCTGTTCTGCTTTGCACTTTACAGTTTGTTCGGGAAGATTAAACCACATAAAAATCCATGCTCAAAGTCTGAGGATCTCATTTCCAGCAAGAGGATCTCATTACCTGCTCTAGGTGGAACATACACAGGGACAGGAGTGAGACGTTATATGTTCAAACCAAGACTTGGCCACCTACTTGCTAAATGGGAACTTCAGTTTTATCAGTTGTGCATGGAAGATAATATCACCTCTATCACAGAGTTGGTGTAAGGAGCATGAGCTAATCTATATGAAGTGACTTCAAAAATCAAAATGTTATACAGGTATACTGATTTATAAATGACCTCTATTAGAGTCATATATTGAAACTGATGCAACCAAATGCCTTTTACTCCCTTATTCATTGAGGATGTCTTCCTGATGAAATTCCCATTGCTTGGTCTTGCTGATTGTGAGGCTGGTTACATCCTTAGATGCTCCATAGCATGCTTGTCTTGTAATAGGCTCCTTTATTCTTTAAATCATTCCCCCCGACCCACCTAATCTTTTGGAAACTCAGAAAATGAGTCTGGTATGATTTATAGAGCCTTAAGAGGCTCTAAAAATATCTAAAATTAAAGTATCGTGACCTTTAAATGGGAAAAAGAAATGTAGATATAATTGGGCTTTTGAGTCTTCCAAAAGTCAGCCATGGACAAATGGAGGAAGCTGCACTCTTAGAACTGAGAATGTAGTATAGAATTCTACCTCTGAGTATGTAACTTTGGGCAGGTGTAAACCCAACTGCTTCATCTGTTTTCTTATCTGCAAAATGGAATTCATAATGCATACCTCAGTATATTCTTGTGAGACTTAAATAAGATCACATCTATAAAGGTTTTGGTACACTTCCTGGCATACAAGTTGATTATCAGTATTGATCACAACTTCTCATTAATTTAAAGGACCACCATCAGTCCTTAGGCTCCTCAGGTTTGTAGAAAACTTTGGAATTACTCCCCCAAATCACTAACTTCCCTATGATTGTACAGAGTGAAACTTCAAATGTTTCATTTGAAGCTTATGCATTTACCTGTATAAACAGGTAATCTAAAGCAAGGATATGGAATTTTCAGTTGGGATAAAGCCACAAATTCTTACGATTGCTAATCGAATAAAATATGCATAATAGTCTATAAAAATATAACACATGTGTTATTTGTACAATGACATCTATACCATATTAAGTGTATATATTGTGTCTTTAAACACAGGAATCTGAACTGGTAGGATGAGATGAGCCAAGGGACGGGAGATAGAATGAAAATATAGCAGATGAATGTCTTCCATCATCTCACACTAGAGTATGAGCTTTTTAAGTCAGAAGGGAAGCTGAATTTCTTCTCCTTTTTATACTATTTTCTCTTTCTCTCCTTAAAAACAGAATTTGCAGTTCAAGACATATATGTGTAATGTAGTTTCATTGTAAATTGCCTAAATGAACAAGTCAATGAAAGAGCAAAAACTCATTCAGGTCTTCCAGCTCCAAGTTCAATACTACCAAGTGACCTTCATGCTCCCAGTGCTTCTGCTTTCTTAATTGGTCCCAGTGTACCCAGAACTGCCATCTCACTACTTCTCTGCTTATCTGTTTTCACACAGGCAACTATGGAGAGAGTGGGATGGAAGCTTTCAAAGATATGTCAGCCAAGGAAGGAATTTGCATCGCTCACTCTTACAAAATCTATAGCAACGCAGGAGAACAGAGCTTTGATAAACTGCTGAAGAAGCTCAGGAGTCACTTGCCCAAGGCCCGGGTGGTGGCCTGCTTCTGTGAAGGCATGACGGTGAGAGGTCTGCTGATGGCCATGAGGCGCCTGGGTCTAGCAGGCGAATTTCTTCTTCTGGGCAGGTGAGTGACAATGTCAAAATTCACATGAAGGTAATGCCAGGAATTTGGCAGAATCAAAGGGTATCTTCTGATGCATAAGGACAGATGCTTTGGAAACTTCATCTCTGTGGTAGAAGTAGAACTTAAGTATCATAAAACACCAGAGCCTGGAGATAATCATGGAAAATAAGTAGATATGCCATGTGCTGATTAATGATGATAACAGTAATCAACACATGAAGGTGGTGAGTATGTAGGTCTTGAAAACAAAATGACTATAAGAAAATGAGATGGGTTCTTAGATACTTGGATCATTTCATAATTCCCTTGAGAAATAAGCATTTTTTTCAGACTTTTTGAAATTGATTTTGAGAAAGGCTACCTAAACTTGTGTTATAACATAGAGTCATAGAATTTTGAGTTTGAAAGTGAGGAATTGCCTTAGGACTAACTTTTTAAAGCATTGGAAAATTGGCTCATTATTTACATTACAAAAGTGTTACTACATTGCCTGATCATCCACACTGTTGTCAGACAAGTTTCTAAAACTTTGACTTCTACTGGTACTGATTTTAATTATCTGGATAATCCACTTGATGGGTACAGCACAGCTCATTCCCTGCCGATGCTGTTGAATCAGTATATTTGAGTTCTCTAGAGAAGCGGATATAATGGTGTATGTGTGTGTGTGAGAAAGAGAGAAAGGGAGAGAGAGAGAGAGAGAGATGAGATGAGGTGAGGTGAGATGATATACCAGAAGACCCAGTGGTATAGTTCTGGTCTGAAAACTGACAGGCTTGGCATCCAAGAAGAGCCAATGTTTGGGTTCAAGTCTGAAGGCCAGAAAAGACCAACATCCCAGCTCAAGCAGTCATGCAGGAAGAGTTCCTTCTTACTCAATCATTTTTGTTCTTCTCGGGTCTTTGGTAGATTGGATGAGGTCCACTAACATTAGGGAGAACAATCTTCATTACTTAGTATATTGATGCAAATGCTAATGTCATCCAGAAACACCTTCATAGACACACCCAGAATAAAGTTTAGCCAAGTATCTGGGCACCCCATGGCCCAGTAAGTGGTCACATGACATTAATCATCACAATTCGTAAAAGGACTTCACAGTTTGACCATGTGAATGTAGTTCACTATTGTAGAACTTTAAAAAGTTTTATTATAGTATATCTTTTAAGTAGGCAGCCAATTTAAAAAATAGAGAAAACCTTTAGAACCCTTGCATCTTTCTCAATATTTCTGTCCAAAACAGAAAGCTAACTCACTTGTTATTAACTTTTGACGGCTCGTTAAAGAAAACATGCTTCCTTTATTTTCTAAATGCCTAACTGACCTTCTGCAGTCAGACTTGGCTCCTGCTTGGCTACATTTTATGACAGCCATTTTATGTACCTAATGCTTTTCTGTCTGACCTGATGGCAGTAGATTGATGGGACTATTTTAGTATGAGGCCAACTATCCTTCATAAAAATGATATTGAGTGAGATTCTTTTTTCACTGATGTCATGCATTTTGTCTAAAATCATCCCTAGCTGGCAAGAGTGTCGCACCAGTTAGTTTCATACAACCCAGAAGCACTCCCACTCCAGTATTAAATTCCAAAGTGTAGTTACCACCGGGGTAAAAAGAACAGGAAAGAAAGAAGCTGGCTTTAAATAGTCCTGTTTTTCTGTTGGGGCATGAGATTTTGTAGCTCCTATCTTCTGTCTTTGCCAATGTTAATAAGACAAATCAGCAGCATTTATTTTCCAGCCCATATGATTTGTCAAGAAGTAAGTGCTTTTCAGTCATATGTACACAAGGAAAATAAGTAGGTACTCATGATATTTGCCATATTCCATTTTTATTTTTGTTGCCAACAGCACCACAAGGCCAAAATTTCATATCTATATAACATACATGCACAATTTTAATAATGTTTAATATATATATATAACATTATTACAAATTATTACAAATAAATTAAGATTTTATTTTTTGAGTAATCTCTACACCCAATGTGGGGCTCAAACTTACAATCTCAAAATCATAAGTCATACACTCTACTGACTGAGCCAGCCAGGTGCCATTATTTTACATATTTTAAAATATATTCTGTATATGCTATTTATAAGAAGTTCTCTCCACATCATTTGATTCATGCAATAATAGATTCATAACCTTTAATTAAATTTCTTAATCCCTTCATTCATCAGCTAAGAGTAATTCAGTTCATTTCATCTCAGAGGAGTTTTGTTAGAAAAGTCTTCTTACTCCTTTTTTTTTAAGATTTTATTTATTTATCTGACAGAGAGATGACTAGCAGGGGGGACAATGGGGAGAGAGAGGGAGAAGCAGACTCCCTGCCCGAGCAGGGAACCAGATGCAGGGCTCGATCCCAGGACCATGGGATCATGACATGAGCCGAAGGCAGATGCCTAACTATCTGAGCCACCCAGGCGCCCCTCTTCTTACTCTGAAAAAAAAAGAAAAAAATGTCTGCCTGTAGTTTCCATCCCTTGGCTCATATTTTTGTCTTTGAAAGTCATGTGTGGTACTCTTGCAGATACTTGGTAATGGTATGGTCATCCATTCTCTTTACCTTTTTGAAACATTCCTGCTTCTTCCATTTCTACTTCTTCATGGTGAAATGACACTCTAGGTATTAATGAAACTATTTATCAAGATCATTTATGGGGTCATTTATCAAATGTTTTCTGCCAATTACTACACTAAACTCTGTACATTCATTGTTTTATGTATTCATTTGATAGATACTGACTGGCTACTATATGTTAAGAGGCTTGGGATGTATCTGTGAATAAAACAAGACAATACTTACTACCTTTATGGACCTTACAGGTGGCAAGTTAGATAGAAGGTAGTAAGTGCTATGAAAAAAAAAAAATAAGTAAATCTAAGAACAACTTCATGTTGAGTACTATTATCTCCATTTTATAGGCAAGGACTCTAAGACTCAATTTATATTAAGTAATAGAAGGCTATATGGATGGAGGTATTGAAGAAAAAATTAAATATAAGTATGTGTAATTCTAGAAACTGAGCATTTAGTGCTGTGTTATTTTTCAGGAAATTGAAAGTATTCCTATTCATAAGAATGGAGATCTAGGGCAGTGAGCAGAAATGTAAAATGTGGTAGTTATAAGAGAATTTAGCACATCTATTCACTCTCATTTTACAAGTGAGGAAACTGATACCCCCAAAGTTTGGGTAACATGGTTAAAGTCACACAAGAACCTGATTACCAAGGACCATAATTAAGTGCTTTTCTCTACTAGCCTATTTCCTGTAAATAGAAACAGTGGAGAAGTTGTCTGATAGCAAACTCCCAGTTCTTCACAGAACCTGGGTATATAAAGAAATTATCCTAGATAATTCAAATTTAAGTTAGCATTTTCATTTTAATGCTCTCTTCTAAAAATATAATTCACCCTTTAATTCCTGTAGCTGACACGCAATGTTACATTAGTTTCAGGTGTACACATTTGTGATTCAATATACCTATGGGTTATATAAGCTCACCTTAGGTACACCTATCATCTGTCACCATACAGTGCTATTACAATATCAATGACTATATTCTTTATGTTGTGCTCTTAATAACTTGAGATTATTTTATTGCATATATTCCCCCAGTCTCCCTTTATGCTCCTTCCTTCCCCTACCCAACTTAGACCCAACTCAAGATGGTTCTTAGAAATTAGAGGTCAGCGGATGCCTGGGTGGCTCAATTAGTTAAGTGTCTGACTCTTGATTTCGTTTCAGGTAATGATCTCAGGTTTATGAGATTGAGCCCCCATCTGGCTATGCACGGGGTGTGAAGCCTGCTTAAGATTCTCTCTCTCTCTCTCTCTGCTCCTTCCCACCACTCACACATACATGCATGCTTGCTCTCTCTCTCTCTAAAAAAAAAAAAAGAAAGAAAGAAAAGAAAAAAATTTAAAGTCAAGGTTATGAGGGAATCTATATTCAGAACTTCCTAGAGGGTCCCATTTAACAGCTGTAGTTATAAATCTGGCCAGTTGTCTTGGGACAGCCATGTTTAATAGGTCATTCAGCTGAAATGTGTGGCGGGACTAGGAAGATAACTGTGCTGCTGAGACAACCTCATCCATCAACATATCTCACCATCTGTGCTGCACATCAGAAGAATGTTAGAGTGATATAGACGTGGCCACTGGGTCTTCTCACTTGAACTCAGGGTAATCTGTTGTCTCATTGCCAATAAAAATGTCCTGTCCAGGTCCCTGAAATAGTCTTGCTGAACACTCTGGCCCTGACAGCAGAATGGGATCAATAATCTGAACAGTAATGACATTTCTCAAGCAGGTTTTTTTTTCCTAGAATGGATACAGTGTTAGTTTTTGCCCTGAGAAAACATCATATTATATTATTGTTATATATTATTATATACTTATTATTATTATTGCATATTATTATATACTTAAATATTAACTTGGAAACAATGGCCAACTTTTAGCAAATTAGCTACTTAAAGATCTTGGTTTATCTTGTCTATAATTAACTAAAACTATGTATCCATTTGAATTAAGAATCTCTGTCCTTCAATATGATGATTGTTACCAGGCTGCAAGAGGAAATTGGGAATTATAACCTATATTTCTTATCAGGAGGCCACTCTTCATCAACATTTTTCAAAGTGGAAAGGACAAGAGCTTATTCTAATAAATATGTTTGTGGATAGAATTACAAATAATTGTTTTATTAAAGCTATTACAGTAGGTATTATTCAGAAGTAAACATTAGTCTTTATCCTTGCATATTATCAGAGTATTCATTCTAAATTGCAGCTCCTTTTAAAATAAGTATACTTGTGTTCCAATGGGCCACTCAGTATCTTATAATCATGATGAAAACTTATTTTCATTGAGTTCCTGTTATGTGTCAGGAGACAAGGGAAGAAAGAAAGAGAGGGAAGGAAGGGAGAGGAAATGATGGGAAGAGATAAGAGGGGAGGAGTAGAGGAAGAGAGAGAGCAAGAGAGAGAG